ATTCCCCAGCCAGCATGGCTGGCTGGGGAATTCTGGGAGTTGGAGTCCACCCATCTGAAAGTTGCTAAGATTGAAAAACACTGCCTTAAGACTCACACATCCTTCAGACGTTTTGGCAGATCAATACTGATCTCTAAAAACTTAAGCAATTATCACTCAGGGAAGTCTTTAAAAGTATCCCAAGGCGAAAGACACAAGGCCCTGTTCCTCCCCACTGGATATGCTGAGCAGGGCTGGATGCCAAGGGATGAAATGAAGACTTTTTCAGTCTTGGAAAAGGATACCCTTCTCTGCAGGAGGGGGAACAGCTGACGGGTCAGTCAACAAAAGGGGTCTGTAGGCAGCTGCCTTGGAACCAGGTTAGGCTCTCTAATAGGCCTGGCCATTCCTCAGCTGCCACGTTAGCTAAGCATTTGGGCAGTTGGGATCCCATGACATCCTGGCGCCCTGGCCTGGAGCTTTTTTATTTTGGCAGAGCAGGCTCTCTCCAGCCACTAACCATGATCCTTTCTGAAACAGGGAGATGTCAGAAGTGGGGGCCAGGGTTTCCTGGGTGCAAAGCACATGCCCAGCCATTAAATTCCAGTTTTTCCCCACTGAATGGGGAGAGACCATCTCCAGCACAACCCTGATGTGCAATTCGTGTGTGTGTGTGCACACGCTATCCTTCTTCAGCCTTCTTGCTCTTGGACAGCGACCCTAAGCCCTGCATCCCACTCCCCACCCCCAAATCCCCCGTGGGTGCCTGAGTGCTGCTGAATCCAAAAACATTGCAGGAGACGCGGGAAACACTTAAGCCATCTCTGTGACCATGGAGCTGTATCCCCTCGGGGTCTTGTTTTATGTAGGCAATGGTTGGGACTGAGGCCACTACCACCAAGGGTGAAAAAGTTGCCCCAAACCTTCCCCAACCTGGCCTGCCTGGAGATACTGGATTACAGCTACCATTATCCCCAGCCAGTGCTCCCCTGAACCCAAATGTTATACAACAAGGGCAGGCAACCTAGCATCTTCCAGAAGTTTTCAGCTCCCATCAACCTCCTCCAGGATGGCCAAGAACAAAGTCCAACTGGAGAAGAGCAGCGGCAAGGCAAAAACGCTCGGTGCATGCTCAGAGGAGCTGCTGTATTGTTTTACTGAAAGGATTTCTCTGCAGCTGTCACCGTTTGGGGGTGGGGGTAGAGGCATGTGTGGTATAAGAGCGCCAACGTCCATGAGCATGCATTCATACAAGCACGTGCACCCATGACTTAAAATCACAGCCCATTCTTACAAACTTGCTTCCTTTGCTAATACAGCTCTCATCTCCCGAGTCGGCCTCCAAACAGAGCAAAAGCAATGGGGGGGGGGCGGTTGGGGGAGCAGGGGAGAGCGTAGCCCCCCCCCAGGAACCCATTCCCCACCCAGGCCTGGCCTCGGCACACTCACCGTCACGCCTTCAGTTGTCGTATTTCCCCATGAAGTGAAAGCATCGCTCATTGTCCGTGGCCAGAGTGGAAGGTCTCCTCCGAGTGAGGCATATAAGTCAAAACTAGTGGATAAAAACTGGGTTTAAAGAAGAGACTTGGGAAAATAAAGAATAGGAGGGGAAAATATATTTAGATACATATATCAAAATGGGCTGAAGAGGAGAAGGACGGCCGCTGAAGTCTCTTTCCTTTTTCTCCCCCTCTCTCGCGGCTTTATCCCTGCCTCTTGCTCCCGTCTCTCTTCGAGCTCACATGCTGGGGGAACGGAGGGACCATGGCTGGCTCGGCTCACAGCATCCTCGCGTCCCTCGTCTTCCGGTGCTGGAGATGGACCAGCGTTTCTCGTTCCTTCTTCCCTCACTGGATTTCCTTCGTGGCGAATTAAGATCCGACTGGGAAGGAGAGAAAGGGCTGTTGGTGGTGGAGAAGGAAGGATCGTGTTTTGTTCTGGTTGGTTGGTTTTAAGAGAAAGATGGAGATCAGGGAGATCAGAAGAAGAAAGAGAAGAGGAGAAGATTTGGGACAAAAACAGCTAGAGGTAAGGAGCTGGGGCGGGCTGAGCATCCGTTTTCTCGGGTTTTTTCCTCCCTTCCACTTTCTGGTTCTGCTTTTCTCCTTTCCGTCTCGGCTGCTCTGCAACAGCTAGGAGCCGAGGGCATCCAGCGGGCTCTCGGCAGCCTCGAGGGAAAGGGCTCCGGGGCAGCCACAGAGTCCGCTCCCTCGCCTTCCCCTTCGGCCCTAGGAGATACCGCCGGGCTGATAAACCCAGTTAGCTCACCCACTGCCACCCACTCGGTCAGCAGCCCTGCAGGCGGAAGGATGGAAATGAAATCATGTTCATCATCATCATCATCATTTTTTAAAAATGCAACCCAGCACCGCCAGCTAAGCAGCCTCCAAAGCCTACACGTGGAGGTGACTCACAAAAACCCACCAGCCGAGAGGATGAGCAAGAGAAGACGGGGCAGTGGTGGAAGCCACCGCATCGGAGCACGCTGAGCTCCGTGGAGCTGCAGCAAGGATGGACGAGGCCTGTTGGGGGGGGGGGACACAGTGCAAGGCGCTGCATAAAACAGGTGCTGGATTCTAGGCTGCCCCACCTTTCCTCTCCTCCCCACGCGTTGCCTCCATTGTAGATGGCCGGAGTTCATCTCCCGAGAAGTGGGGCCATGCTCCCACCTTCTGCGCCAGCTAGGCATGATGGGAGATGCAGTCCAACACATCTGGAATTGGGAAGGTGTTTGCACAGTTATAAACATCTAAAAAAAAGGTCTAGGCAGAAAAGGATGCTGAGGTATTATAAGTCTGTGTCTGTGGTCTTCATCCTGTCAATTTGCAATAGTTGCCCATGACAAATATATTTTAAAAACCACCTTCTGCTGCAAGGTTTCTCTGGGTCTGTTAGAGAAAATGTTTCCAGCTGTGCTAGAGGACTAACTTTGGTAAGGAAGCTAGTTGTAGCTCTTAATTTTTTTAGCTGCCTAGACTACAAAGGGTTACAGCGCAGCTGGTAGTAAACACAACCCTTTTGTATTTTTGTTTAAGAAAAGTTTCTTTGGGTAAATTTCATCTCCTGGCAGCATGGAAATCTAGCTCAGCAAGGAAAAAGCTGGCAATCTAGCCTCATCGCTTGACTATACGGTGCTGGGCTAGTTTAGATTTTGAAGTTGAAGGATTTCCTTTTTTTTTTTTTTTTTTTAAAGAAGGATTTTACCTCTCCACACACTTGTGATACATACATGGCTAGAGTGTTATGAGTTAGCAGTCCATAGCAGCATCTCCACAAATTAAACAAGAACTCAAGCACCTTAAACTGAAATGATTGAGATTAGATATCAAGGGGACACTTTCAATTTAAATCACACCCCCTCCCCTGCTGATACAGCCTCTCTCGGGAATAATCAAAGTAGCCTGCAGAATATTCCTGGTTCAAATCCGGAAGACTCGATCATTGGGGATGTTTTCCTGGGCATCCTAGGCTGAGCAATGGGGCTGGACTGGATGATCTCAGAGGCCCCTTCCCACTCGCGGGTTCTATGAAAGGGAACTGTTTTGCATCCCTCTCCCACCCCCAAATAAAGGGAACTTCCTACCATGGAATTGGAGTGTTTTGAAATGGATTTTAAAGGCCCAGAAGGGTTGGATTGAGAGGAATTCTTCCTCCCCCCTCCCCACCCGCTTGTCCACAGATGTTCAGAGGGAAGGTGAGCAGAAAACCCATTCTGTGCCCTCCCTCCCGTGATGCTGGAGGAATTTAATCTCCATGGTGATGTGCAAGTGAGAACCAAGAGCCGGTGGTCTTTGCACGCTGGGAAGAAACAGGATTCGAACACCTCCCTTCCCACGGAGCTCTTTTTCTCTCTCCAGGGAAGAACAGTTTCCTGGCTGAGGTCCATCTGATCTAGCAGTGCCTCTGCAGCCCCGTTCAGACAACGTGCTTGGGGAGGGTCGAAGAAGGCAGGGGAGCATGAGTTCAGGATGTTGCATGAAGCAGGCCTGTGTGTGACCCCCGAAAAGGGTGTATCGTTGGGGCATAACATGGTAAAGAGGGTTTCAGATGTTGGGTGGACCCAGACAGTCAAGGGGACAGTTAGGGCAAGGGGGTGCAAGAGAAAGGGAAGAGGGTCCTTAAAGGCAGATTCTGGTCAGGAGAAGCTGCTAGCTCTGTGTTTCTCAACCTTGGCAACTTTAAGACCTGTGGACTTCAACTCCCAGAATTCCCCAGCCAGCTTTGCTTTGCTGGCTGGGGAGTTCTGGGAGTTGAAGTCCACAGGTCTTAAAGTTGCCAAGGTTGAGAAACACAGAGCTAGATTCTTTTTTTTAAAGAGGCATCCTTATTTAGAAACAAAGTTTTTTTTTTAATGACTCAATCCATCCATTTCCCCAAGTCTATTACATGAAAGACAAGCCCTCCAGCTTCTTATTCCATCACTCACTTCATAGCTAGGTACCTTTGGAAAGTTGAGATGAATGCAGTTTGTGTGTCCCCTATTGCTTGCTTCCAGGATTCTGGTCCTCGGAGGTAGACTGCCCTTGGACACAGAGGCTCAAGAGCTACCTCTCCTTTGGGAGAGAATGGCCACATCATGCTTGATCAGGTAGGGACCTAACTAAAATTTCTAACTTGCCTTTTTTTTTTTTTTTTGGTAAGGGCAGCCCAGGAACAGACAAGAAGAATAAAAAGAGAGAGATTTGATGTGAAAAATAAAGAAACTGTAAAGAACAGAGGATGGAAGGGCGGATGAATTTTTAGGACTGCATAAAAGAGGATAGTCATATAATTCTATTAGAAAAGCATATGTATTTGAATAATATTTGTATTAGATAAGCATATATAGAATTGTAATTGTGTACTATTATGATATATTTAGTTTTTGTTGTTATATTCACTTTTATGTTAAAGCACTTTAATTTTTTCCCCTTTTTTGTAATTAATAAAAAATAATATATAAAAAAAAAGACTGCACAATGAGTTTTTAAGACTCTTTGGGCTGGTTTGCGAAAGACCACCAAGTCTGATTTTTCGGGTAGCCTCCATTCCTGCTCACTTCACCCTGGATGCACAAGAAGAGCTGTCAAAATGTGTGTGTGCCATTTTTAACATCAGCAAAAGGGGAATTGCTAGCAGAGTTTTTTGCAGCTATTAAATGCTCGGCTACAGCAATTACAAGATCTCTGGAGGACTAGAGGGAATTTGTGGGGCGGGGGGGACGGGGGAGAGTGGGAGAGAAATTTTCCCTGCTGGGGTTTGACCCAGGCTGGAGGTGAGCAAACCACATTATTCTTCCCCTAACCCTGGTTTCCCTTTTCTCTCCCTACCGTTGCCCTATGCTACCTGGCCCAGTCGCGCAAGGCTTACTCCTGAGTAAGCACGCCTAGGATCCGAGCCCCAGGACATCTGCCGTTCTCAGCCTAGATTTGCACCCACGGCTGCACTGGGGAGGGAAGACATATCAACACCCGATCGCTGCTGCGTTGACCCAAGACCCTGGCCGGCGAGTTACTCATTTCATACACGGAGCCGTAAATTCGCCCGACGGGCTAGCTCCCTCCAGCCCGCTCAGCCACAGAACCAACCGAGCCAGGGCGAAAACCAGCCAAGCCCAGCCCGATCCGAGTCCGCATCTGGTTAAGATCGCTGCGGGGAGGGAACCCACTGCACAGATTCGCGTCTCTTACGCCCCCGCCTTTCCGCCCCCGCCAAACGGCTTTGCACGGAGCAGGTTAGCCCCCTCAATTGAAGCGGGGGGATTATTCGTCAGTTTCAACTCCCCGCTGGAAGAGGAAACGAATATGCAATTTAGCACACGCAGGCTCTTCTCCTAACTAGACCCATGGCGGCATGGTGTGTGGGGGGGGAGCGAAGTAGAGTCACAAGGTACAAAATGGATAGGTCCCAATATATACAAATAAGAA